GATGAATTGCTTGAATGGAAAACAAAAAAAAAAAAAAAAAAAAAAAAGAATCTATGTAATGAAAGTGTTTTGAACAATTTATAATCTATTTCAGAAGTTAACCAGTCCATCATCTTTCGTCTATTTCCGGACATTTCATCCGTCTGCATTTAGTATCATCCGATACTTCTTCTTTCTATTTTTTTTTTTCCTTTCATTTCGATATCACATGACTTCTTTATTCTTTGTTATTTTTGTCTCTTTTAATTATAACTGCTTATATAAAGCTTATGCAAAGTTTTAAATTGTCATTTGTTTACAGTATACAATTTCAGGCGCTGTTAATTTTTATCGTTCCGGATAATGTTGCATAGGTTTTCTTTTTCCTTTTAATTTTACTTTTTTTTTTTTTTATGTTTGCTCTGAATAAATGAATGTAATAAATTGTTGCGAAATTTTGTTTATAATAAAAACTTTTCCCTCTTTTAATTTAATCTAATTTTTAAACTTTAAAGAATGAAAAATGGAATTAATTTGAAAATGTATTTTCTCTTCTTATTTTTAACAAATTCTCACGTCATTTACAGCAATTTCTTTTAAATGTTACTAAACGAGGATGAAATTTCGAAAAAAAAAAATATTAGCTTCTAATTATTCCATTCACCATATTTTTTAAGAATATTTTTAATACAATAAGTAGCGATGCACAAACACAGAGATACCTCAAAAATAAAAGAAATTTTTATATTTTTAGCTGAAGTACAATTCATATTGAATTGCACATTAAAAAATGATTCGCTGTATTTCTTTGATGAAAATGTATCTGAGACAAAAGTGCTACTATCTTCAAATTTATTTCTTTATTAATTCACTCTTACTCTTACCTAACTGAATGATAATTTTAGAATAACCGACTTTTGTAATTTGCTCATTACAGTTTATCACCATATCAGTAGTTTGATAAATTCATAATATTATTGATTATGACTTCATTAATAATAATAAAAAGGAAAGAAACAAAAAAAAAAAAAAAATAGAAGAGGCACAGCTGTGATATTAATTAATTGTATTGTTTTTATTGGTCACAAAAATTTACTACTTTTTTGGATGAAAATAAAAATATAAGTGAGAGAAAAAAAAAGGAAAAGAAGTGACATTGTTCAAATGACATTGGTAAGCAGATGTTCATACAAACAGTGCTAAATTTTAAACAAATGTAAAAAACGGAATAAAATTCCCAGTCTTTTTCTTTTTTTTTTCTTCCTTTTTCCCCTTTCTCTCTCTTTCTTTATTTTCTTTTTACCAATTTTTCCTATCGTTTTCTTCAACTTTTATTCCTTTTCATAACTCTTTTTCCAGCATTAATACATTCTAATTTTTCTTCCCTTTTTTTTTTAGTTAGCATACCTTATAATGCTAACTATTGACCACACCCAATTTAATTTGTATAAGATGAAAATTTGCTACACCGTTAGTTATGGATGAAGTAATTTATGATACTTTTACCTTATCATTAATTGTTTCTTTTCTTCTTATTGGCAGTCAATAAAATCTAAGGAAAATTTCCCCTTTTTTCTTTTTTTTTTTTTCTTTGTTGAAAATCAAAAAATTTTCCTGATATATCATGAATATTTGATGATATCAATATTGTTAGTATGTATTTTCGACAAGTACATCTAATTGAAATTACTGTTATCTTAATGAGTTATACTTAATTCAGCAAAGTATTATTATGACTGGACTAAAAAGATCAAGCTAATTTGTCCTGAAAAAAATGAAAGCTATTATATTAAAATATTAAATAGTGGTGGTAATATTGTTGATGTTTCTCGTATTGTGCTTAATGATGCGATTAGTGATTTTTATATAATTTAAGAGCTTTTTGATCAATGATTCTTTAATTAAATCACTTAACTGGATGCATTTAAAACGTTCATATAACAATATTACTCTTCTTTTTTATATTGCATAAAATTATTGAATAAATCTCGACACATTGCTATTTTCATCCATTCTTTCCATTATCTAAAGGAAAAAAGCAATAAACAAAATGCAGGAATACATGCATGCATTTTATGCATTAGCAAGGATAACTTTAGCGAAAGTTAGAAAGCAGAAAAATGATTAAATTTTCAATTGAATTTTTACGCAATTTAAGAATTTCTTGATCAATAGCAAGCTGTAAGATTTTCATTTAATTTACTGTTTTCCTATATATAACAAAGTAAGAGAAAAACAAATTGTGATAATTTTTCAACTTATCAATTTAATTACTACTGATTTCTAAAATTGATACACACAATTTATTTACGTATGTAAATTTTTTTATAAAAATTTAATTATAAAAAAAGAGAAAAAATAACAAACAGAAACAAAATTTCATTCATTTCGTATTAGAAGAAAAAAAAAAAAAAAGGACAAAAACAAAAATAAAACAAACCTCGCACATTATTTAGAATAATTTAAGACAAAATTTACGATTTTTTCTTTTTCTACATTTTAAATTATTTCTGCATGATTTTTTTTCCTCTTTTTTTTTTTGCAAAGTTAAAATGAATTTCTTCATACTTTATTGCTATTTTCTTCACTTGAATAAAATTAAAAATATAACGACTTAATTTGTTCACAAAGTTTAATATTTTCTTTATTATATCTTTTAAACTGATAATTGTTTCGCTGGATTTTATTCTTTCGTTTTCAATATTTGATATCACTAATTTCTTTTTCCCTTCTGTTTAGAAGACCAAAAATAAGTAAGTAAATAATAGTTATAATATCATAATATAAAAATAAATACATTATTGCGTTGATATATTAATGAAAATAATAGCTTCTCTTATTCAGTAATTCATTAAAATATTAACAAATTAAGGTTAAAAGTAAAGCATTTCGTGGAGATTAGATTTTGAGAAATAACTGTCAAATTTAAGAAAAACAGTCATTATAAAAACACCAGTGAGTTGTAAAATAGTGAGGTTTATGAAGTTTAATAAAAAAGAACATGCGAAGTTTTATGTAGTAAATGGTAGAAGTAATTAACAAATTATTGTAATGATAAATAATTATTTAGGTGAATTTTAAGTTGCAAATATGCTGAAGGTTTAGCAGTCGCAAATATTATAGTACATCGTCATAACAACAATTTAAAAAAGAATAGAGGAAGTGGATAAAAGAAAAAAAATTCCTTACAATCTATCAAGCTTTTATCATATCATTTGATTGAATTATACCTATTTTTTAAGAAAATTCTCAGAAAAGTGTGAGATTGAAAGGAAAAAAAAAATAATTAATATCATTTTAAATAATCAATAGTCTTTTTACGTCGTTTCAAAAGCAATTTATATATATTCGTTGTGAAACATCTTTTTCAAATGAAAAAACTAAATTGAAAGATACTTTTGAACAAACTAAATTATTAAAAAGTAAGGAAGAGTAAGTACACAAAATAATTAGTGGTAATGCAAGATTCTTGCATATATTATGAATTAGATTGATCAAATTTACATTAAGTCTCTTTCTATATTGCTCATTTCATATTATTCATTCTTTACTAATTGCTTATTACCATGAATACAGAGAAAAAAATAATCATTATTGAACCATGCAATTATAACGATAGAGATTTGACTTAGTAATCTAATTTGTTCGACTGTTTGTTTTCGAAATACATTTTAAGATATATGTTTGAACTTTTTTCAGTGTAAATTTGTGGAAATTTGAAAGAAAAACATTCAGAAACTTGAAAATATATTGAAAGAATTTTCGGTATTACTTGTTTTTTGTACTACTTTTAACATTGCTAAATCTTAATTAATATTTTAGTAGAGTGAAAATTGATAATTTATCATAAATGTATTTTCATCATTTTTTTTTTTTTTTTTTGTCACATAACTACTATTCTGGATTAATTTAATAACTTTAATGCTTTTTTAAAACAATTTTGTTACAAGTCAAAGAATTCTTTCCTTTTTCAGTCAAATAAAATATTTTAAATCAAACATTCCATTATTTATAATTATTTGATCTGAAAATTTATTTGATTTCAAAAAAAAAAAAAAAGCTAGTTGACATATTTTGATTCCATTGTTTAATTTCAATATATAGGTTAAGATAATAATTTCACTTTAAAAAAAAAAAAAAATTATCCAATGAATGGTTGGTTATACGTGATTAGTTAATTTCAACGAACGTTATGTTATCGATCGTTAAATCATTTTTAATAATTCATAAATGAACGATTATGGCTAATTTTAGGTTAAAAATAATCTGTCTAAATTATTCATCTAAAAAACTAATTTGGATTTTATGCATTATATAGTTTTAGGCAAAGTACATTTCATGTTTTAGAATTCTTGTGCAATTTATAGGAATGAAATGAATCATACAAATGAATAACATAAATGAGTACCACTGTAACATCATTGGAAATGCGCCTGCTCCACAGATGCGAGATTGCATTTGGCCAAAAAATACAATTGAGCGATTGTTTAAGTAACTTGGCAACATTAGTAGCATTCGAGAAGCAAGGAATACAACAATGTCCTGCGAATCTTTCATGTCTGTTATTTGATCCTTTAAATTCTGCAATTTCTATTTGAAATACCATTTTCTATTAAATTTATCATATGAGATTTTTTTTTTCTATTAACAATTAATAAGCAATAAAAAAAAAAAAAAAAAAAAAAGTAAAATCATTTTGCATTATACAATAGTAGGGTTAAAATTGCATTTGTTATTATTGAAATAAATGAGATTCAATAGAATTCATTCAACAATATTCTGAAAAAGTTAAACAAAATTCTCATAAGTCAATAAAATTACTAATTCATAATTTTCACTGCTAACTTTCGTCACAAAGTTATACTTATTTATTTTTTCGTTATCAGGTAATTTGTATCCAAAAAATCAAAAACGAAATTTAAATTCCAAATTTTATTTAAATTTTAGTCCCGCAATATATTCATAACAGTGGTTATGATAGTGCTTGCGGCCGAGTGGAAAGGCAAATCAATCAATTCGTAATGCCAATGCTGCAGTTATTATGTCTTTCTGGAAATATTCTAAATTTGCTCATCTATCGATTACCTTACTTTCAAGGCAGTACATCAGTTCATTTCCTGAAAGTAAAAGCTTACGCTAATTTGGTGTTCGTTGAATCCAGAGTTCTTGAGGTTAGTTTTCAGTGTTTTTTTTTTTTCAAAATAATACTGCAATAATTGAACTTTTAACTTTTTGCTTTGCACAATTCCAATTCCCTCAAACTTTAAATATGTGAAATTTTGGCGATTAACTTTCTCACTTTTTAACTTTTCAAACTATTGTAAAAGAAATTTAAAACAATTTTTGCAAGGTGATACATGCGTGGAATGTGCATGCTGATCCTGCATTTGAAACATTTTATTGGTACACGAAACCATATGTCATTACAATGGCTAGCATAAGCGGTACAGTATCCACATGGTTCGTTATACTTAATAATTCATATTCATTTTTCAAAGGATTAAATTTAGATTTCAAGTTAGAGTGACAGTCATACATAAAAACATTTATAGCAACATCCTGTGTTACTATGAAACTATAATTAATATTAAACTACTAGTTATTTTTAATAGTTACATCCTTCTTTTTTTTTTTTTTTTTTTGAAATATTGAAGTTTGTTTTATAATTTAGTACTGATTATATTGCAAAAAAGTCTCAAATCTCAGTCCTACAATGTTTTCTTCAACAGCACCGTTACAAAAATATTAAACCGTTTAATTTCAGGATGACATTAGTGATAACAATTGAAACGGTGCTCTGTGTATTATTACCATTTTATTTTCGTCAAATTTGCACAAAACGATTAAGTTTGATAATACTATTTTGCTTCGTGCTATGCAGCATTTTCCTGCATATACCATTTATATTCAGTCAAACAGTTATCAGCAGCCCGATATTAAAGGAATTGGAAAATCGACAATATAATAATAGGTTCTTGAAAAAAATAAGGAGAAAAAAAAAATATTTCTATTTATATTTAATTGTTTAATTGATCTATTCTAATCCATTTCATATATCATTTTAATCAAACTGAAAATTTTTATCAGATGCTATTGGATCACAAATCAATATTTTATGGAAACGTATAGGGAACCATTTTATGAGTATATACAAAAAACATATTATTGGTTGCAAATAACACTATCTATTCTTATCCCAAATATTGCTATGCTGATATGCTCTATATTAATCGTCGCGCAATTTAGTTTCAAGGTATTTTTACATTATGTTTATTAATACACTGTAGATTAAATACCGTAAACTACACACCGTACTACAAATTATAGTCAAATCAATCATTTTTCATTTATTCGATGTGAAACGAATTATACACTAATATGTAAACTAAATTTTCGAGCATACAAAAGTGATGCATGGAAAATTATTAATTAGTGTTCCAGAATCACAACGAATCATTTAGTCAACGACGAAAATGTGTGATTAGGATGACAGTTGCGACAACACTGTCACATCTTTTACTGGAAGGACCGGCACTATTAACATTTGCTGCTGTTGCAAGAAAAGGTTATTTGCATAGTTTAAATTTCTGGAAGAAGGAAAGATTTCCTAATCGTTAGTTTAAATATCAATAAATTTGCGAAATGTTACTCATAATTCAAATTTTTATCCTTTTTTTTTTCCATTTGAAGTATTAAAATTAACAGTTTTAAAATTCATTTTATTCTAAAAAAAAAAAAAGTTTAGATTTTGAAAAGTATTTTCAATGAAAAATAAAATTCAAAATTAACATGTGTTAAACAATTGAAGAGTTGTTAAAATAATTAATAAATAATAAGAATTGTTGTATATTTGTTCAAAAATAAATCTTTTCTTTTATAGGTGCGAATAGTTCAGATCATGGCAATAATATTTGTATATTAGCACATGGTAATAATTTACTATCAGTAATTAATGCTGCAACGCCATTTTTTGTGTTTCTTGCATTTAACGAGCAATTTCGTCGTATGTCATTAGTATTCATACAAGTTCACTTCATACCACGACGATTTATGAAGAAAACATCGGTGCCATCGCATAAGCTACATGGTATTAGTTCATCCGTAAAACTGATCAATAATGCCAGTTCATTTCCAAGCAATTATACACATTTGTAAAATAAATAATACATACATCTTTACCCTTTATTAAATGCGCTTTTTTTTTTTTTTTTTAAAAAAAAAAGTAATTATAATTGATTTGCCTTTCAGTTTGTTTATTCATTTATTTTTTCAAATTGTAAGTAAAAATTCCATTATTTATTACTTTTACGAAGTTCATATTTTGTTACTTTGCAATGGAAAAAATGAGCCAATAAGTAAAGTAAGTCTTAAAGAAACTATTTCAGCATATAACATAATGTGTCATACTAACTGAGTGAACAAATAAGAAAAGAGAATTTTTTTATATTTCTTTGAAAGCAATTTCTTTAGCAGCAATTGTCATTCGTTTTCTCTTTCTTTTTTAAATTTCATTATTTCGCCGTTTGATTATCTTTTCTTTGATCTACTAATAGGAATTCTTTTTCTTTTTTTTTTTTTTTCTTGACATCTTCATTTTAATGGAATCAATTAGTTCAATAAAAGATCATTTGTTTATTTTTGCTTGCTCTTCGTATTTGTTACATTCATATAAACAACTTTTGATCTCATCGCTCATGATTACCCCATATCTACTTTTTTTTTTTCTTTTTGTAGCTTTTTACATATCTATTCTACAGTTAGTAGGAATGACTAACTTACATGACAAAATCAACAGATTCAATTCAATTTGTATTTTTAGATTTTTGGTATAAATCTACTTAATACATCCAAGCATGTTACAGAAAAACCTGATGCAAAAATTATTATGGCATAAAAGATTGTATAGATTATAACTATGCATCTTAAGGCACTAAATGAATTTGTCAAATTACTTTGATATAGTTTATATAGGACAGAAAATTTCTGTTATTAATAGGAATCATTACAAATATAGGTATAAATGTTTATACATAAATCGATGCTTATTTCTATACTTTCTCATACTTCTATTATTTCTTTTTTCTATCTAAATTGTTAAAATTCTTGTTCTATAATAGTTGTTGTACTATAGCATAGAAGTTATTCTTTAATAAACAAAAAAAAAAAAAGAATGAACTGCTATTAGTGTGATCAAAATAATCAAAAAAAAAAAAAAAAAGATTCTCATTTGATAAATGGACAATTGCTAAATTAACTCAGAATAGTATTGTTGCAAAACGAAATTTAACCGATGATAAATGTTGAACAAATCTTTAATCGTTAATAATTATATTATTAAAAATGAATGAACAAAATTAAAATATAAAAAGCACCAGACAAAGTTAGTGATAAAGCAGTGATCAGATGAATTCATCACATTAACTTAAAAATTAGTTTAATCTTACTACTTCTCTTTTAGACCTCAAAAAAAATTTTTTTCTTTTTAATATTTTTTGATGAAACTATATTTGAAAATGTTGTCTCCTATCATTCATATACCTCTTACTATATAATGAATTTTATTTTTCATGAAAATAATAGGCAACACATAGACTATATGCATTAAGCATAATGTTAAAATCATATTTGATAGTAATTTAATGTTTCCACTCAAAACTCTTTATAAGGCAAGAATTTGCCCGATAATACAAGTGATACCCGATCACCTTGTTCATTTTTTTCACGTGCAACAGTTAGGTTAAAATCAATTGCACTCATTATACCATCACCAAATTCCTCCACAATTAGCTCCTTAATTGTAGGTCCATACACTGCTATCACCTTAATATTTTATCAGAAGTTAATTTTATCATATGATCATTTAATTCTTTCTTTCTGTCATACTACAAAAAATCTTTAACTTCTACTACTTCTCATATAGATTTCCCTATTAAAATTAACAGGGTATGTACTGATATAAGAATGACTCATCAAGCATTTATCAGAACGATAATGAAATTTCGTTCAAATCACTTCTCTTAGTACCTCCCAGTCTCCTCTAGCAATAACATATGGAATGGCTAAAAATTTTTTTCCTTTATAAGTAAATAAATTTGTGAGTAAAGAAGTAAGTATATTTTGTTAGGAGAAATGTGAAATAACCTCATGTAATCGATAAAGAATTGGATCGGAGGGAATTCCCGGTGTCCCCTTCTGTGGAACTGTTTGAAGCCATAAGAGAGCACTTTCCGGTAAATCAAATATCTCGGCAACTTTTTCTGCCTGTTCCTTCGACATGACCATTTGACCTAAGCATGCTGCAGTTGTCCATTCTTTGCTTTTGCCAATTTTCTCCGCTACTGATTTCCATGTGACACCTTTTTGAACTTTTGTTGCCAAAATAAGATTTGTTACGTCCTGTCGAGATTTCATCACTTCGACAGAGATAATTCTAGAAAATATGGAAAATACCACTTAAATAAAAAGGAAGACAATATATTTGTAAGCTGAAATTTACGCTTAAGGCTAAATTGATTCTGAACTGCGCTTATAAAAACTGCATTACTATTTGAAATTTTTTAAGTACTTCACCTATCGTTTGGTGCTACCCAGATTGAAATTTCTAGTGTCAATTTAAAAAATAGAATTTTTGGATGAAAAATCATTTTTGCTAAGTTAAAAATTAGAACTGACGAATAATCATCGTATACTTTCACGTAATTGCAAGCAAAATAAATGATTAAGTAAAAATCATTCAAATTTCTTTTTTTTTTTTTTTTTACACAGTTATAATAAAAACTAAATTCAACAAGCGAAAACGCAAAACAAAAACTGATAATAATGAAAGTGAAACAAATATATGGATAATATAGCATACTAAATACCCAAGTGAAATCAATTACCCGGATCCTTCCAGAACATTTGCAATGCTACGTCTCATTCTTTTAGCAAAGTTGATGTGAAATTTAATGGGTGACGATTTAGCAACAGGGAACAATAAGCAGAGCAGAGAGGAAGCGCTAGAGTAAAATGAAATTCACAAATGAGCAATTTTTGTGAGATGGATTGGATATATTTTAAAAGAGCAAGATATTTTTGTGTAAAGTAAAAGGAGATTGAAAAAGAAATGAATTTTAAGAAGTTGTTTGCTACTGATTGAAATGTTTTTGAAAATTTTTTTTTTTTTCTTATAATTCGAATTTTGAAATGATGATATAACTAATATTGACAATAATAATGCTAGTTGAGATTAGAAATGAAAGGTAATGAAAATAATATGTGATATAAGCAAAATTTAAAATAACAATAATAAATTATTGTCGATGCTTTCTTGTTAAATCATCAAAAAAAAAAAAAAAAAAAAAAAAGGAAAAGGGAAAAGGGAAAAGGAAAAGAAAAGAAACATTAATGGTGAAAAGAGAAGATTGTTAATCATTTAGAAAAATAAAAAAAAAAATAAATCATTTCTGCTTTAGGTTCTATTAATCTTCGCTGTTTTTATTTAAAAGAGTAATTAAGGAAGCATCAAAATAACAAACATAAATAACAGTCATTACTAAAATGTTCCCAAGAAACGGATTTATATCCGTTTCTTTCGTACCATTGGCACATCACTGAATGTAATAAAAAGAAAATCAACTCATTTCTATTCCTGAGTGGCAAATTAATTTTTCAAAAAATAATAAACTGCTCATTATGCCATATGATTGATTTCATTTAAAAAAAAAAAAAAAACGAAAACACTTAATACTTTTCCCAGTTATTAAAGCTGAAATTCATTATTGATAGGAAAAAAGTAAAGGATGCAAACATTTTACGATTTCTCATTATGAAATTTCAATGGATAAATCTTTAATATCTTATACGAAGTAATTGCATTTGCGTGAGAAGTTAATAAGTGATATTTACCTGATATTGCTACTATTACTACTACAAAGATATTAAATGCATTATTAAAATTAAAATAACAACTAGAAATCATGTTATAGATTAGTGAATAAGAATTGAATGATAGAGAAAATGAATTTTTTTTTTCAAAAGGGTTAATTTTAACAATTGAATATACATCAAATGATCAAATCTAATATTTACTTGAATACGTAAAGTATCTAAGTCAAATACTCACTTGATACTCTTAAGTGAGATACACACTTGAAAGCGTCAAATGACTAAATTTTTTCATCAGATGATTAAATGTTAAAAAAATTTTGATAAGTAAGAATACATGCAACAAATCAATCTACCAAAGCTTTTTCATCTGAACACATATGATTCATCTTTTAAAGCAAAATAACATAACTTAAGAGTTATAGTTAGGTTTTTGTTAGGTATAAAATGATTTGCTTGATTACTATTTTTCGATTTCTTTATATCAAATATTTTCTTTTTTTTTTCGTCTTTTTGTCCTTCTGCAATTTTCAGATTGCACTATTCTTCTTCTTTTCCTCTGAAAAATTGTTTTCATATTTTGACAGATTTTGTTTCAATTTACAAAGATTAAACTTTTTTAAAAAAAAAAAAAAAACACCTTTAAACAAATAAACTAACAAATGATATATGATAAAGTAACACCTTAACAAACAGAACTAACAAAGGTAAATTTTGAAAGTTTCTTAAATTTTATTTTATAACTGACATCTTGCATTTAAAAGGAATATTCAGAATTTATCACATACATACATGTCTGCGCGTATGTTTCTGTTGTCCGTGTATGTCTTTATATATATATTTATGTATGTGTTACCTTTGTAACTTTTGTGTGTCCTTACATATGTGTGTGTGTGTGTGTGTATGTGTATGTGATGTGTTTCATACTAGTAATCATTAATGTGAAGTCACATGCGTAAAATTTTGATTTTTTGCAAAAACAAATTGTGAAAAAAAGAAAAAAATAGGTCTATTAAAACTTTCAAGTACTTTCTTTCTAATTTATTTCAAATTGACATGCACAAAAAAGAAAATAAAAAGAAAAAAAAACGAGAAATATTAATATTTTCTCAACTACTGATAACTTCTATAGCTTTTGTTACTAATAATGAAATGATGATTTAAATTTGAAATGAGCAAAAAATTTTAATCACTTAGAATGCTATCTAGAAATGCAAAGCTTATCAACGTAGTACTGATCCAACTTCTAATTTATTCATCTGAGATGCTCAGTTATTTCATATCGGCCCGGCACTTTGCGGAATGTTGCATTTTTGTTCGTGGATGAGCTGGAGCTTTTTACACTTTCTCCCTTCTCTTTACTCATTTCTAACATTGTACTTAGTATGATGGTAGTGATAATAATGTTGATAATGATAGCGATGATGATGGTAGGACCTGCATTAAACTTTTAATGATTGTAATATTTGTTGGTACATGCTAAAAATTCGGTAGTCCACTTCGTGTCATTATGTACGATGTCTTTTCATTTCTCCTCCCATCATCATTTCCGTCTACCTTCAAATGGCATTTTCTTTTTAACCCTTACATACTCACTCATCACTGATCTCCGTGTAGGTTTTGTGTCAATGAATGCATGACATATCTTTGTTCCGTCATCTCGCAACATTTTCGCTGTTTTATACTATCGTTTAAAGACATAAATGGAGTTGCTTAAATGCACAGAAAGTAAGCTTAATTAGTGTTATGGTTGGGCTATTTCGAATGTATTGCAGTAATGTTCATAAGTGTGTGACGTAGTAGTCGAAGTTAACTGAGATTTCGTGCTTGATTCTTGTATGCAATAAGTGCTGTTGTTACGCAATAAGTAGTTCTGTATGTTCTATAAGTGTTTGTTACACGTGAAATGTTGTGCATAGTTTTCACAAAGCTGGCAGGCTACTTTAATTATGCTATTTTCAGGCTGTTTAGCATGTATTAATGTATATATAAATATTATTCCTCATTAGATTTGTCGTCACAAAGGAATCGTCACTGCAGAAACGTCTTTCCCAAAAAAGGTTACTTTACTTGCCTTCCAAAAATAATGTCTTTATGAAAATATTGATGTTGTCATGAACGTGCTGTAGAACAGGTGGCGTAGTCTTCTAGAATTAGTCACACTAAAACCACTGCTCATTTTTCACTTATTTTCAGAAAATTACCGTTCTATTACTGCTAGTTTACTTGTCGCGACAAGTTAAGTCTACTGATTTCGTGTCCTTGTGCTTATTTATAATTGCTTAACATGGGTTTATGGTTTGTGTTTGGTGCAGTTTTTGCACTTGCAAGAGCAGAACAAGTCGATCCACTCACTGATAAGGATCATTTCAAGGTTTTTTTTCTGCCATTTTGTTTTTACGTTTATAGTTTCCTCACTTTCAAGGTCACTTCTGAGTTGATACACGTGCCTTGTTAAGCTACAATTCTCTTTAATTTGGTCTTCTTCAAAGTCATTATGATTTTAAGGCTGGTGGACATGATAGCAAATTTGACCATGAGGCATTTCTCGGTAAAGATACTGCTGAATCAAAGGATGTCGTAAGCAAAGAACGTCTTGCGTAAGTATTTGATAACCGTTACTATTGGGACATATAGATTTGTTTGAAGATTTTGTGTATTACACCCGCAATGATAAAAGCGTATTGAGGATGGTCGAAAACGGAGATATACAATGCCAGTTATATGACGTTTACTCAGATCTGTTTTTAGAAATATAACATGTCATTCACTCATTCATGGCTTGGTCTGACGAATGATGATTTATCAAGAAGTGTTGACTTATGCTTGCTACTACAAACGCATCGGTGGCTGAAAACACCAATGCGGGATAGGCAAGTCCTGTTGTAAAAAACACGGCGGAAGGTTACACTGGGTGGTGCTAACAGCGGATTGATTTTAATACGTTGTTTTTTTCCAAAAGGCAAATCCTACGTTCGTTCTCAAATACAGTAGCAACGCTACGAATACGGTGTTGTTGCTGTTACATTTTGAGAAATAGAAAGATGACAAGAGGACATCATAATCGCTGCAAGATCTTCCATACGCCTGTTTTGCTTATAGTGATAAATGCTTTGCTTGTCATCTGAGCTGAGAAGAGAGTTGTGAACCTGATATGTTGGTCTACACACTGTCCACGCTTTCTCAGTTCTTTGTGTTCGTTGATATTTTGTGCATGACAGGACCTTTTGTGCTAGATTGACCCACAACTTGTTCTGTTGTCTTCCGAAACAAGACGATGAACATGAGCTTTCAAGAAGAGAACCTAAATCAGTGGATTGTTTTCATCGAATGAATTTTCGGATTTCATTGATGAGTACCCTAAATATTCTATGAAAGACTGCTGGAATGCTGATTTTTGAAAGTCAGAGTGCTGCATAGGAGGAGTCTGTGGGCTGATCTACAAGTCTGGTTTGAAGGTTAGTCTGGAGGTCGTCTCTTAGTGTAGCAATTACGAGATTGCTAACTTTGAGCTTTCCTCATGGAGTGTCACCTCTTTTAGGTTTGGCCTGAAAGTTGAATTTGCTTGCATCTTGGATGCACTAAGATGTAGTTAATCAGTTGCCAGTGTTTTATCGAGGATGAATTCAGGTTGTTTTAGGTTGTCTTTTTGCTGAAAGATGCTGTTTGTGATCGTGAGCTGCTCTTTTGCGTAGAACTCTAGTAGGACGAGCCATTGTCGAAACCAATTTCCAGCACCATGTTTGCTTAATAGCCCTCCTCACGGCAGATATCAGTGTAGAATTTTTTCTCTGCTAGGTATGCTTAAAGAGATGGAGCACATAGCTGAAAAAGATAAGTATGTTGCTTACTGTGTAGGAGGCATAAGGAGACAATAGATCAGAATGAGCTGTTGACAAGTTTATAAGTTTGTATACGATCGAGTTCTTGATTATGAAGCCGAGTGTCTAGTGGGTTTTCTTCTGGTTTACCTAAGCAGAGCAGTGGTATCATTTCCTTTGAGACTACTTTCTTCATGTGAGTTTTACTGAAGAAAACAGTGTCGGTATGGAT